AACTTTTCCAAACTTTGGTTGCACCAGTATATTTCTCCTAATTAGCAGCCTGAATCCGGTGCTTTTGAATGGTATCAAACCTACAATTAACCATTCTATTTACTACAGGAATGCCACTTCCCAGAGATGCTAATAAATGGCCTCACACCGTGTCAGAACATGTATGCATTGCGCCCAGGAGTGTGGACTCTGATTGGTTAAGCGCCAGTGAGAGTGAGCAACTGAGAGAGACACGCTAGAAATTCCGGGAGGGGCCTCTCCCCTTCCCACCACCTACGCCTCCGTGCCGTTTAGATGGGGATGACCATTGGCCCTGGAATGATAAAACCAAAAAGAAAAAGAAAAACCGGCCTGTTGTGCCACAAAGACCAGTGGGGGTTATTTCGGGGTGGGCTTTGCTCGTAATCTCACGATCCACTTTCTCAGACCCATGAAATGCCCAGCCAGAGTTTTGGACACAAGGATGCCTTGGGCCGGAGGGAGGGGAGGGTGGCCCCGTGAAAATGGAGAAAGGCACAGAAAGTGGAATTTCGCAGCGACATCAGAACCTTCAGAAGCAACGTTTTCAGGGCTCAATACTGGTGCTAATCGTGCGCTTTCCACGTCCACAATTCATTTCCCATGCCTTGTCTTGGGCTTCACCGAGCCCCCACTCCTGTAGCGTAGACTTGAGGAGAGAGCTGTGGCTAAATATTTCACTCCCTGCGTCTGAGACCAGGGACTGCAATCCACAGTTAAGGTCACCGCGGTTAAGATGCCGCCAAGGCCGTTGGTTTGTTACTTGGGTTTTGCTGTTATCCGGGATGGCAAAGCAGGCCAACGAAGCCGCCTTCTCGGTGGTGGGGCCGGGAAGGGAGATGGATCGCAGGCGAAGCCCGCGCTCCGCTAATCCGCCAGCCCGCCTCGGGTGGCGACTCCGCCACGACTCGTACAGGGATCTCTCCGGCAGGCAACCTCTCCGTTTTCTAGAATAAGCATCAAGGAGCGGCGGGAGGGAGACATTCGTGCGACTCTCAGAAGAGGAAGGTCCCCGGCATTCTTCCTCAGGCGAATCCGGAGTGGGGAAAAGCTGAGCCCGCGCTGCGCGCCTGGACTGCAACACCCGCCAGCCCTCACGACGGGGCTGTTCTTGCTACAGCTGATGGGAACTGCGATCCAGCACCAGCTGGGGAGACACCACCTGGCGTGGCCGAAAATGTTCAGGACCTCCTCTGGCTCCTTCGGGAGAAGGCTGATTTCCCTCCCCGATTTGTCCCGCCGCCCCCACCTCGTGGACACCCCCCCGTCCAAAATCGCCGAGAAGACGGAACCGCTTCCCCGGGTCATACCTGCAAAAGGTGGGACCCCAGCTCGCGGCCCACGTTGTCCAAAGGGCTGGTTCGACTCGAGTGGCCCCAGGCTTCTCCGAGCCCTGTGGAAAGAGCACGAGGGGAGTTAAAAGGGGGAGCAGTTCGAGGATCTCACGGGGATTTCTTTCCCACCTTGTTTGCGACAGTTTCTGCTCAGAAAAGCCCAAGAGGAAGGAGGGGAGCGTAAATCGGCGCCAAGGACGAAGCTTCGCTTCTAAACTCCACTGTCTATCGTTGCCATTTATATACGGATTTACATTCGACTAGAACTGCACACACGGCCGGCTTCGGACCATTGCCTTAAACGATTTTTTTTTAATTACGGGTGGCGAAGTTGGTTTTCCTTTCATTCTAGTAGGGTTATATAATCATCTCCTTTGATAAGACAGAAATGATATTTGCTATGTAAAATAATCTAAAAGCTACCGATTTGGTTTCAAGAAATGTAAACTCCTCTCTATCCATCTTTATCCAGTGTCCAATCAATTCTCCCTTCACGTTCCAGCTTCCGGTATTAAAAAATTAAGCTTCTCTGCAGAAAAAGTGACAAAAAGTAAAACCCAGTTCTCAAATCCCTTACAAGGCATTTCATAAGGGACGTAGTGCAAGTTCTCTCCCTGTCAAAGAACGCCCCCTCCCCATATTTCTCTTTTCCTGCTTTCCCTGCTTTCTCCATAAAGGGAAGTGCTCCCTCCCTGCTCGAAATGAGCTTAAGAACAGCGAGCAATCTCCCCTTGCAACGTTAGGTCGGGTATGATCAGTAGTATAATTGTTGATGATGTAAGCCGCCTCGGGTCCTTTTCAGGCCAGGTAAAAATATTCTATCTCTCTCCTATACGCGGGACGGGAAGCAACAGTTAGAACTGGATAAGAACAACTGATCGGTTCAAAATTGGGAAAAGAGTACGACCAGGCTGTATATTGTTCCCCTGCTTATTTAACTTATATGCAGAATACATCATGCGAAAGGCCGGACTGGAGGAATCCCAAACCAAAATTAAGAAGGCTGGAAGAAATAGCAACAACCTCCAATATGCAGATGATACCACTCTGATGGCAGAAAGTGAGGAGGAAGTAAAGAACCTCTTAATGAGGGTGAAAGAGGAGAGCACAAAAATGGTCTGAAACTCAGCCTTTAAAAAAACTAACATTATGGCTACTGGAGGAATCCCAAACCAAAATTAAGAAGGCTGGAAGAAATAGCAACAACCTCCAATATGCAGATGATACCACTCTGATGGCAGAAAGTGAGGAGGAAGTAAAGAACCTCTTAATGAGGGTGAAAGAGGAGAGCACAAAAATGGTCTGAAACTCAGCCTTTAAAAAAACTAACATTATGGCTACTGGTTCCAAATGGTCTGAAGCTCAACCTTTAAAAAAACTAACATTATGGCCACTGGTTCCATCACCTCCAGGCAAATAGAAGAGGAAGATATGGAGGCAGTGACAGATTTTACTTTATTGGGCTCCATGATCACTGCAGATGGTGACAGCAGTCACGAAATTAAAAGACGACTGCTTCTTGGGGGGAAAGCGATGGCAAACCTCGACAGCATCTTAAAAAGCAGATACATCACCTTGCTAACAAAGGTTCACATAGTCAAACTATGGTTTATCCGGTAGCGATGTATGGAAGTGAGACCTGGTCTATAAAGAAGGCTGACTGCCGAAGAACTGATGCTTTTGAATTGTGGTGCTGGAGGAGGCTCTTGAGAGTCCCCTGGACTGTAAGGAGAACAAACCTGTACATTCTTAAGGAAATCAACCCTGAGTGCTCACTGGAAAGACAGATCCTGAAGCTGAGGCTCAATAATTCGGCCATCTCATGAGAAGAGAAGACTCCCTGGAAAAGACCCTGATGTCGGGAAAGTGTGAGGGCAAGAGGAGAAGGGAACGACAGAAGATGAGATGGTTGGACAGTGTCATCGAAGCAACCAACATGAATTTGACCAAACTCCGGGAGGCAGTGGAGAACAGGAGGGCCTGGCGTGGGGTCTAGGAGAGTCGAACACGACTTAACGACTAAACAACAACAAAAATATTTTAAATTAAAAAATCAAGACGACACATTTACCCGAGCGTGTATATCTCTCCATTTTTATGCAGCAGCTTTCCCGGCTGACATTATTTTTTACCTCAGTGGATTCCCATCACGAAATACTGTATTCCAGAAACCTGGTCAAGCAGAATTACTTGAATTTGACCCACGATTGCACAAACAATTGACTGGAAAGCAGCCCTACTTTAAAATGAAATGTTTAAAAACCGCAACCCACTAAACTAAATAGGATTCCCCCGCCCGACCCCAAGTAAATCCACTTGCTGCTCGAGAAGACGGTAGTTCTTTCTTAGTTTGGCAAGACTGTCCCCGACAACAAAGACGAACCCAGGAAAACCATTTTTGGGGGAATGGGAACATTCGGCTGAAAATGCCCAGAAGCTCCGTGGGTGCCCGGGAATGGAAAATTAAGAGGTTTAATTGGGTTGTGGATCTAGCTGAGCAGAAGGGAATGGGTGCCGGAGATCGCCACGGTACGTCTTTCAGGCTCGCTTACATCTGGATTCTAAACCACATCTTTCTTGAAAGCTGAAGTCCCATTAAGGATCTCTAAGTGGGTTTAGAACTGAAAATAAAGCCGAAGGAGCTTCCTCTTGTGGCTGATGCAGCTAAATCCGGCTAACGATTGGGCCTGAGCAACACAAACACCCGGCCTTCGTGCAAGCCCACCACCATCACCGCCACCCACCACCCCGCGTCCTTTTCTTCTTCTTTCCCGAATCATCCCCTTCATTGAATTCCCCACCCCCACCCCCGTTGCCTGTTCCTGACAAGTCGTGCCTTTACCACAGAGCCTCGCATCTCGGGTTCCCTCATTTTCACAAGCACGTGAGAACAGCCAACCCTCAGCCCAGCTGACCAAGAATGCTCACTTCAAACACTTCCGCGCTCGGTTTTTAAACTGAAGCCCCCTCCCCCCCCTGTATTTTTATTTATTTGTTTATTTTTGGTCTGAGGTCTAGAAGCGTGACGACTACGAGCGTTTTCTATTTTCTTTCAGAAAGGCTCCTGATGATAGCCATTCCTAGGGCACCCTGTATCTAAAGCTGTCTTAAGACACGGGGGGGGGGGGCACAAGGGCTGCTCTGCTTTTGGAGGATTTGCATGGGAGGTCATTTAAATACCCCGCTTCTCTACCCCCCCCTCTCCTTTACTGAGTATTCTCTACCTGGAAAACCCAGAATTGGCTTGACCGATGACGATGCTTTCACCTCTCTATAGCCAGGGCATGTCTTCTGTTTGCTTCGTCCGTATCTGCCTTTTTTTCCCTGCCAGCAAGAGACTTCATTGCAGGCCAACCCTCCTTCCCTCCCGAGCAGCCTCGTCCACGGCTGGGTTAGGCCAAATCCCGCTTGGGAGCCAAGCCATTCGCAGCCCAACATTTGCTCTTGGTTTCTGCAGAATAAGCCGTCTGAGTATTCACGTTTGCATCGCCTTGGCGGCGTGCAATTATTATTAAGCCTCGGTGGAGGCTTCTCCCAAGGTGTGTATGTGTGTGTGTTTTTTTTAAGCCTGCATTGGGTTTCAGCTGGAGACTACCGTCTTGCAGTCCCCTACACACCAAGGAGACGCAACTGGGGGTTGGAGAACTTTCACAATCCTTTACTCCTGCCTGGGGTATTTTGAGCGTTATAGTCCAAAACGTTGCAGGACCTGGCCTTCTCCGTTTTCCTATGAGTACAGTAAATCTCACTGAATTCAGTGGGGACGTCAGTGACCTCCTTCCGAGGAGACCTGCACAGAGCCTAGCGGTCTGTCCCGGAATTTTCATGCCCGTCATTCACACAGATGTTTCAGGGAATGATGCATCCAGATGTCCAGGGTCAGCAGGTAAAACAGCTCAAATCCCCTTTGGCTTTGGTCGTCCCTTCTTGTTTTCTGGAAGGCGACGCACCCACCCAGGGACCTCCCTTTCCGCAGGAATGCTCCACCGCGAATATTCTGCCTTCACCAGCTTTAAGGACTGCTCCTTTCTGCTCCCCCGACAAGGATAGTCGAGGGCTTATTTCATTTTGCCGAGAGGCTAAAGACGGTAGCCCTGACCATCCAGTTCAAATTTCCCTGCAACCTTCACCCTTCAGCTCGGATGATTCTATGATTCTGTTTAGCTCTAGATTGCCGGCGTGTGGCGGGAAGGGAGCTGCGCCAAATGACCTTTACGGCCGCTTCCAACTCTGTGATTCTGACGTTAACCCACCCTGAGAATTGTTAAGAACCACAGGGCAGAAAAAAAAGAGAGGATGAAGACCTGCGACTTTAGATTGAAACGATAAGAAAGCCGCTGGGACAGGGCGGTCTACGGGGTCTCAGAGCGAAATCTCCAATCAGTCACAGAATTCAATAGGTGGTTTAGTCCACTGGTTCTTAACCTTGGGTTACTCAGGAGTTTTGGACTGCAACTCCCAGAAGCCTTCACCACCAGCTGTCCTGACTGGGGTTTCTGGGAGTTGCAGTTCAAAAGCATCCGAGTAACAAAGGTTAAGAACCACACCAGGGGCAATGCGTAACTTCCTCGTATTGTGGACTACAACTTCCAGGTTCCTCAACATTGGACCCTGGAGTCTACGGGAGTTGAAGTCCAAAACAGCTGGAAGGCCCCAGGTTGCCTACCCTTCAACTAGTCGCTGTCTCCCGACATAGCCTTCCTCACTGGGTTGTAGCGAAGAAGGAGGTAATGATAGGAAAGGGAACCCTTGCAGGCCGCATCGAGCATCGCTGGCGAGGCGCAACAGAAACTGAGAAATAATTAAAAGAAATAAATCTATCTCTACACTGATTGGCAACCAGAATCCAAAGTTTCTAACAGGACTCTTTCTCAGCCTGTCCCTCCCCACCCCGGGGAGATTCCCGGATGATGAACTAACACACGGTCTTCTGCTTGGGAAGGATATGCCGCACCCAGCTGCTAGGCAGGTCAGGAAAGTGTGGCTCTTGACTCCAGCTCCCATCATTCTTCACTATTAGCTGGACTAAAACTGCTGGGCTTTGTAGTTCTACAAATCG